AGCACTGCTTTGCAATACTTTAAGTCTATTATATGCAGAATATATTTTTATTTCCTAAAGTGATGAATTGTATTGGCACTATGCTATCTTATGAAACACTTTCTCACTCTCACATTGTGACTTTATAGTTTTCAATATTGGCAAAACCTTTAAATGGTCTTAGTTGGGTGTTGTGTATCATTGTACGGTAACTGCTAGTACATATGGTATTTCTGATCCGTGTAATAAAGTACATTTGTCATGTATCTTGTGATCTGCATACCTTTCAGCTGTTACTTCATAAATCTGTTCCATCGGAAAACTTCTTTGTACAGCAATGGTTGAAGCTGCTTTTAATAAACTAATATTTTGTGTCTTTTATATGTAATCAACAGGGAGTATTATAGACTTGTGTCTCTGTGGAGAAACACTCTTCTCAACTTTTCTCTTGACAATAATGGAGAAAAAAAATAGCTTGGGAAAAGCACAGATGTTCAAGAACATATGTTGTTTACTTCTGAAAGCCGAAAATCTTTTGTGTAACTCAAGAGGTTTCTTCAAATTTTGTTTTGTTTTAATGCTTTAGACACAAGGTAGTTTGAGATATGTGATGGAGAGAAGGCAGTTCTAAATTTCATTGAGAGACCAGCATTGGGTGTTATTTGTCAGATTTCTGAAATCTTGATATGTGCATTCTTGGGCAGAAATGCAAGTAGTCGGGTGGCCAAAGATTGATCTTCCCTACTCAGACACGAGCACTGGGCTTTAGTTTTAGTCTTTGTTTTGTTGCAAACTTCAAATTAGCAGTATCTTCAAAAATCATATGTTTAACAACTCAGGTTAAAAAAAAAAAAGATTGTTCTTCTATATTGCCCCTTCCTCCTCAAGTTTATGGATATAAGTTGTTGTCTTTCTTGAGCTGTAGAAATGTTGCATGAGCCAGAACTCCAAAGAACAGGCGATTGATTAGCAATAAGGGAAAAGGAAGATATTTTTGGGAAATATTTAAATAAAGGGAACTGGATGTCTTGGGAGAGGGTGGTATGGACGTGCTTTGTATAGAGATGGATCTGAAAGCAGAGTTGCCATAAAGAGAATGGGAACCAGCTGTTCCAAATCTCCACTGAGGAAATGGGTTTAACTGTAGCAGAGAGGATTTGGGTTAAATATAAAGAAGAACTTCCTGAATGTGAGTGTTAGTTAAAGCCAGGCAGGTATGGATTGAAAAGAGATTGTTGAATTGTCTCTGGAGGAGAGGGCGAGAGAAAGAAATGGAAGGGACACGGAGAGATCAACCCCCATTAAATCAAGACGGCTCAAATGAAATTCTGTTCAGTGATGCTGAGGCTTTATCCACACACACACACACACACACACACACACACACACACACACACACACACACACACACACATCTCAGGTACACATTAGTCATTAGAACCAAAGTGTTACAGGACCCCTGGATCTGGAGGTCGTTGCTGATGCACCTCCATCAGAAACGCCAAGTTACGACCAATGGATGAGCAAACTGATCCATGGTTAATTTTCCACCCTTACTATTAAACAACGAAGTCTACACCTAGCTCACAGTGCAGGGAGCACTGTGACACTGAGACACTTCTGGAGGGGCAAGTGGCTGATATCACTTTGGCTCCGAATGGGGAAAGGCTAGGGAAGAGTGCACCTGTTATGGCTGGGCATGTCTCACGGACTGTTTTGACCAGGAAATTTCCAGCAAGACCAAGGTCAGACACAGCATTGGATCCCAGGAAGCAAAAACATGGAAGACAGAAAAGAATCATTCGTTTTCTTTCCTCCCCCTGTGGCTATCACTGTTTTGCCCCTGCTCTCTTGTTGTGTTCTCATTTCATTTCCCTGTCCTTTACATCCTTATGCTTTCAGCCTTTCTCCTGCAGCATGTTTTTCTTACATGCTATTCTTTTAAAATTTCATTTTATTTGAAAGATGTAGAGACAGAGACAGACCCAGAGACCTACCACCTGCTGGTTCACTTCCCAAATGCCCACAACTGCATGGACCAGACCAGGCCAAAGTCAGAAGCTGGAAACTCAATCAAGGTCTGTTACAAAGATGGCAGGGAACCAAGTACTGAAGCCGTGCAGGGGTGTGTGTGTGTCTATAATCCAGTGGCTGTTTTCTACTTCTATGCTGCTTTTCTTTATCGCTTTGGTCTCTTTTTTCCTCTGTATTTCCTCTCTGTATTGGCTTCCTCTGTAAAAGCATTACTTTAATCTTCTTCTTGAGTTCAGATTGTTCTTTTCTCACATGTTGCTGCACCTCAGTATTTGCACCATCACCTAACATGCACTAGATATGATAAGATTAGAAAGTATCATTTCCAACAGGGATAGGCTAATCATTGGCCATCTGTATTTGCAAATAGTTTTATTAGCACATAGGTGTATTTACTTCTTCATGTGCTGTCTAGGGTTATGTTGATGCTGCAAGGGCAGATTTCAGTAACAAAAAGATCTTTGTGTGGCCCACAAACTCGACATTCTGAATTTAGAGAAAAAAGCTGGTTGGGCCTCTCATCCTGTGTGGAAGCCAGTTCAAGTCCCTGCTGTTCCTCCTCCTTCTTTTAAAGAGATTTATCTATTTTTTATTGAAAAAGCAAATCAGATTTATGGAGAGAAAGACAGAAAGAAAGATAGCTTTCCCAGGCATGAACCAGCAACCATATGGGATCCTGGAACTTGCAAGGTGAGGATTTAGCCATTGAGTCATTGCTGCAGGCCTGATCCACTTCTGATCCAGCTCCCTGCCTGTGGCCTGGGAAGGCAGTAGAGGACAGCCCAAAGCTTTGGGACCCTGCACTCATGTGGGAGACTCAGAAGAGGTTCCTGGGTCTTGGCTTTGGCCTGGCCCAGTTTCAGTCATTGCTGGCATTTGGAGAGTGAGCCAGTGGATTAAAGATATTCTCTCTCTCTCTTTCCCTCTCTTTCTCTCGCTGTCTCTGCCTCTTCTCCTCTCTCTGTAACTCTGATTCTCAAATACAGAATTAAAGAGAATTATTGTATTAGATTTTGCCATTTCTTCTTCTTTTAAAGATATTTATTTTTATTGGAACACCAAATTTTACAAAGAGAGAAAAAGAGACAGAGAGACAGATCTTCCATTGCTGGTTCACTCTCCAGCTGGAGCTAAGCCAATCTGAAGCTAGAAGCAAGAGTTTCTTCTGGGTGTCATACATGGGTTCAGAAGCCTAAGGCTTTGTGTCATCCTTTGCTGCTTTCCCAGGCCAAAACAGGGAGCTGGAAGGGAAGTGGAGCAGCCAGGACATGAGCTGGTGCCCACATGGGATGCAGGCATTTGCACACAGAGGATTAGCCAGTTAAGCTATGATGCTGTCTCCTGCCCTTTCTTGTGTATTAAAAATAAATCTGTTTTAAATCTTCACCCTGTTGCTTTTTATATTTGGAAGGTCCCCCAACTTTTGTTTTACTTGATGTCGGTTATATTCAAAGGACAACTGACATCATTGTTGCTACATAAGGCAGCACCTGTGTGTTCAGAAGTGTTCCTTTTCTTCTGCCTCCCAGCAGACTTCTTTCAGTCTTTGGATTAGAAAAAAAAATGTTGATTCTATTATAAACCTTTTCATAAATTACGTAGGTAACTTTTCCTTTAAGTTTACAAACCATTTTTTAAACTGTTAAAAGCTGGAGAAAGGACTCAGTTTTAATTTAACATGGCACCTAGAAAACTGGCATATACAAAGGCATTCCAATGTAGTTTGATTTGGTGGGTGGTCTAGCTGAAAATATTTTACACAAATACACTGACAGGTTGGTTTCATTACCATGAAATTAATACAGACTAAAATAGTCCTAGCGTTGAAGCCTGCACAATGTTCTAGAGGTCACTTAGGTTAACGCTGTGCTTTTGAACTGGGAGGAAACTGAGGCTGGCTTCCCCAGATGTCGGCCGCCCGTGGGAGAATCTGGGAGCCCCAGGTCTCGGTGACAAAATGGTGGCATTCCAACACCCCAACTTTGTTTTTTTTTTTTACAAAAAAAAAGGGGGATTGCTAAGTAGAAATCTGTTGTATGGGTAGGAGTTTCTGCAGCTCCGTTTCTGCTACAGTTAGGAAGCCCTTCCTGCGTCAGGGAGCTCTGGACTGGCCCTGTGCTGTGTTTCTATTCTGATGTGTTCCCTAGCTGCAACTTGCAGCCAACGCTGTGTTGTCTTCGGATGTAACAGCCTCCGTGCCTCCTAGATGCTGTGGCCTTTCTCAGTTGAAAACAAAGCAACAGTAATGGATGTCTTCCCGTTCCCTCTGCTCCCCCTGCCTTATTGTGCAGTTTATTTTGTCTCTACTTTCTTCTTTCTACTTCATCCTAGGTGGCTGTCAATTTCTTTTGTTTTACAATTTTTCATTTTTTTCCCTCATGTATGTTCTAGAAAATTGAAAAGCCTGGATAACTCTAAATGAAACAAAATCATTCATAATGCAACCACCTACACAATGTGCGACTGTGTGTATATTTTCATAACTGCTTTGACACCATATAATTCTATATCCCGCTTTCTTAACTATACAAGATGAGGGCTTTTTTTCCCCTCATGCCACTGGAAATTCTTTAGAAGTGTTGTTTGAAAAGTTCCTTCACACTCTGTCTTGTTCATAAATAATATATTTCATATTTGCTTTATTTTGGTCATTAATTTGCTCTGAAAAAATATTTCTTTTTGTTATTAAAATACTTCTCTGTAATATTAATGTCCTGACATGCAAGTCTAATCCTTATCTGATTATGTTCTTGTTAAAACATTCTAGAAGTATATGAACTTTTCATAAGAAGACTCCCATTCTGTTTTTCCAAACCACTGTCCTCAAAGGCTGAACAAAAACTAATAGTTTTTGCAGGAGTGTGGATACTGGGCTGATATGGGAAAACATTCCTTTCAAGGTGTTGCTCTGTTACCAGGCTGCAAACTCCAAACTCAAATCTAAGCTTCTTAGTGAACTCGCTTGCATTTCTTCCCTTCCATTGCAGCCTGGCATCTGCCCTCTTCTGTCTGCCCAAAGGCATGAAGGAAACAGTCCAAGACCTGACTTAGCATCAGGGGACACAGGTTCAAACCTCAGGCCTGCCACTGACTAGTACCTGACTTTAAGTAAGTCACTTTATTCCATTGAGCCTATTTCATTAGCTTTAAATTGCAAAAAATAAAAGCAGAACTTTGTTTGTGAGGCTCCTGTGAGATAATAGGTGTAAGGAATGTCATTAGTCTGTAGAGTACTGTGTAAACTTTACAGGGTCAATTGGTGCTGAGACTATGCTTGAAGGTAGTGTGATGATTATTAGTTCTGTCTAACACATATTTCTGATTCCTTTAGGTCCATGGCAGAATTTCACTTCCACATTCCTTCATTTGGATATAGGCACACCACCTGCTTTTCCCAATGGGCTAGGAATGGAAATAGCTGTGTACACTTAATAAATGGACTCTGGAAAACTGAAGCTTTGGCAGCCACTCTCTCCCATGGTGAGCGGTAGTGCTGCAGGTGGTCCTTGCTCCATGTGTCAGGGTCCTGGCGAAAAAACACCACTATGGGGAGGAATGCCTAGCTGACCAGTGACACAAATGCATATCTTGAGCAAAATTTTTAGATTTTGTTTCCTTCAAGCCCAAGATTTTGGGAGTGTTTCTAGTTGCATGTAACCGGAATTTGGTGTTGAAAGTCTTGTTTTTTGTTTTTTATTTTTTTAAAATTTATTTGAAAGGTAGAGTAACAGAGAGAGACAGAGAGAGAGAGAGAGAGAGAGGGAGAGATCCCATCCATTGGTGTAATTTCTAAATGGCCATAAGAACCAGAGTTGGGCCAGCTGAAAGCCAGGAGTCATATGAGTCAAGGAGATCAGGGGCGACTTGGGCCATTTCCCACTACTTTCCCCAAGTATATAATAGGGAGCTGGAACAGCCAGGACTCAAACTGGAGCCCATATGGGATGCTGGCACTGCAGGCCATGGCTTAACGTGCACCAGACCCTGGAAAAATGTTTAAATATATATGATAGCAAAATGGGCAAAAATCATGAATGGATAATTTACAAAAGAAGAAATACAGTTAACCAATGAACAATATGTTTAGTTTCACCAGTAATAAGTTTAAATTAAAACAAAATACCACTTTTGTTTAATGATGTTATGAAGATTAAATGAATTATTTGAGAATCATGCACTTTTAAACTTTTACATTTCTTAGCTCTCTTCCTCCCTTCTCACATTCTACATCCATCTTATGGTAGAATATGCTTAAAAACAGACACCTCATAATAAATGTAAGTAATTAAAAAAATCATAGTTATGTACATTGTTCTTTAAATTCCAGTTTTCTTGCACTTCTTGAAGACCTCTCCCATTTGTTGCAGACCTAAGAACGTATGGATGTCTAACAGCAACAATGAAAACTTGCTACCCTCCTGCTTAAAGCTACTTGGCCTGTAGTATTTACTATTTTAAATTTTTTATTTATCTGAGAGTCAGAGAAATAGGGAAAAAGACAAAGAGAGAGGGAGAGCAGGAAAGAGAGGGAGAGGAATTCTCATTCATTGGCCCACTCACAACCACAAGGACTGGGCCTGGAGGAAGGTGGGAGCTCAGAACCCAATCAGGTTCTCCCCTGTGAGTGGGAAGGACTCTCACACATTAGTTACCACTGGGGCCTCCCAGGGTCTGTGTTACCAACAAGCTGGAATTAGAAGTGGAGGGAGGACTCAAATCTAGGAGCTCCAGTATGAAATTCTTAAGTGGTAGCCTACCTACCATGCTAAGTGTCTGCTTATGCTTTGGTTTTGATTGGGTGTTTGCCTGAAGGTGGGATAGTCACTGCTAAATTCTTCCCCTCCCTTTGTCTTTTTTTCCCCCTTCTATTTTATTTTTAAATTTTTAAATCAAGATTTATTTATTTTTATTGCAAAGTCATATATAGAGAGAGTAGGAGAGACAAAGATCTTTCATCCGATCATTTACTCACCAAGTGACCTCAATGGCCGGAGCTGTGCAGATCAAAAGCCAGGAGCCTGGAATCTCCTCTGGGTCTTCCACATGGGTGCAGGGTCCCAAGAATTTGGGCAGTTCTTGACTGCTTTCTCAGACCACAAACAGGTAGCTGGACGGGAAGCGGGGATGCTGGGATTAGAACTGGCGCCCATATGGGATCTGGAGCATTCAAGACAAGGACTTTAGCCACTAGACCACTGTGCCGGGCCATTTTTTTTAATTTTGTGATACAATTCTATAGGCTCTGGGATTTATCTTACCCCCTCCCCAAATTACCTACTCCCTATTGGTTTCCCCCATATTGTCACAATAGTATAGTCCTTGATAAGCAATCATAAGTCCATCATTTTACTGTTTAAGTGTGTCCTGACATTGCCATACAGACAATGGCAGACTAGCATCCTATTGTCAAGATATATCCAACAGTCTCTTTGGGAGTTCATTTTTGATTTGGAAGCAGAAATGCATAGTGCACCTTATTTTCACATCTGGCTAGAAGTCAGTATGGAGAGTGCTAAGAGAACTCTAAATAAGCCTGCCATATGACACAGCTGTCCCACTTCTGGGAAATATCCACAGGAAATGAAATCTGCATATGAGAAAGGTATCTGTAACCCTATATTTACAGCAGTACAATGGACAATAGCAAGGACATGGAAACAACTGAGATGCCTATCCAAAGAAGAGTGGTTAAAGAAACCGTGGTACATCTACTCAGAGGTACATTTCCACAGAATACTACTCAGCCATTAAAAAGAATGAATTCTACTATTTGCAACCGAACAGTCCCAACTAGAAATCATTATGCTCAGTGAGGTATTCAATCCCCAAAAGACAAAATCCATGTTTCCTCTGATATAAAGCAACCTTCATGCAAAACATAATATTTCAATATTGTTTTTGCTCCCTTTGGCTTTATACACTCACTTCCCAGATGCTGTGGTGAAGCCTGCTTGGGGAACACCTGCTCTTCCAAAACCTTATTCAATTCTTCCCCCCACACTTTAGAACTGTCACTGCCTGGGTATCTAGGCCGTGTTGTTCTCCCCTAAGCATATACTGCCTAAAATTTGCCAGTTCTGTCAAAGAGTACAATTCAGTGGCATTGAGCATGTTTAAGACCTTGTACAACCATCAATCATTTTTTTTTCTAAATGTTCATCATTTCATAGAAACTCTGTGTCCATTACACAGTAACCCCCCAATACCTATGCCTTCTGAGTCTAGGGGTCACTTTTCTCCTGGCTGTTCCTTGATTTGCCTGTCCTAGGTACCTTGTGTAAAAGGAATCGCCATTTGACCTCCCGTGTCTGGCTTCTTCATTCAGCAAATTCGCAAGGTTCGTTCACTTTTCACGTGTCGGTGTTTCATTCCTTTTTAAGGTTGAGGAGTAGCCCATTGTGTATGACTTCCAAAAGAGTACAGTGTGCTTCAAAATATTCATGTGAAATGCAATAGAAAGGTATGTTTATTTTTGTGCAAAAAAGGTTTTGAAATCCATCCATACATTTTATAATATGCATTTCTATGAGCTTTAAAAAAACCTTTTTAATTAATGAGAGGGACACACACATACACAAGAGAGAGAGCTGAGCCTTGAACCCAGGCAGGTCTCTCTCATGAGAGAAGGAGACTCCCCTGAGCCATCGAGGCTGTGTCCCAGGGTCTACAGCTGTAGGAACTTGAAGTCAGAAACCTGAATCAAAACTCAGTCCCACGTATTGTGTTATGGGACATGAGTCTACCCAACCATAAGCATTTTGAATAATCTACACATGCATGGTTTTCCAATTTTTTTTAAACTTCACTTTTGATTCTGTATTTCATGAACTTTTGTAGATCCCTCAAATGTACCACATCATTTCATCCACTGATCCGTCAGTGGATGTTCGAATTGTTCCTTTGTGGTGCACAGCATGAACTCATCTGAGCTTTCCATGTAAGACTATTTTTCCACTCTCTTCTTGCACTTGGATTTCCTGCTGTTCTTTGCCTCATAGTCACAAACCTGATGATAAAAACACCGAGGCAGGCCTGACAAAGAAAAGCAGAGAGGTCACAGACTGGATGGAGGGGAGAGTCATAGGTTTTAATTTCCTTTTGAAAATAACTGAGTGATATATATATTTTTTTGAGTGCTTGTAAACAATCATGACATAGGTTACACATTTTGGGGGTAGCTGGTATCATGTGTTTTTAATACTTTTAATCTGCTACAAAGAGCCTCTTGCATTTGGAACGTTGATGGTAGGTGACACAAAGAAAATTTCAACGCTAAGCGTCTGCTGACTGTGGTATGTAGTGTTTTCTTGGGTGATTTCATGTCTGAATTTTGGAGGCTATTTATTTCCCATCTTCAGTGAGGTGTGGCCATTTTCTCCGGGGCGACCATTCTATGATTTAGGACATCTGACGTTAAAGTCTGATAAAGAACATATATTTCTTAAAGGACATGATGCATACTTGGCACTCCTGAAAACATTTCCTTTTACTTTCTATGTCTTCTAGCATCATCCAACAAATTATCACGTAGGTCGCAGTCATGCCATATTTTAGTACTTACCAAATTGGTTCATCTATTGAGTCCAGATTTCCAAATGCCTTTTTTTAAAAAAAATTATTTGACACAAGAGTATTGGAACTAGTTCTCTTCTAACCATTGACATTCTAATTATGATATATTCAATACTGTTTTTGAATTACAAGGTTACCAATTTGCGTCAATTCTACAGACACAAAAAAGTTTCAGGGACAGAAGAAAAATTTCTTCCCACTCTATTTAGTCTTTCTCTGTGGACCTATGTTAGTTTGCATCCTTGGCTTACATAGGAAAATATTTTAGTGTGTGCTTTTTACAATATCTTAACTCCCCAAGACTTACCAAGGACAAATGTGATCTTAATATTATACTGTATTTCATTTCACAGGTTTGTTTCATATCCTCAATAGTTATTTCTAGTTGCAATTCTGTTTCCTTTCTAAATGTGTTAATAAAATGCTTGCATTCACATTGGCTTGACTCCAGCACCTGATATGGTTATGCTTCAATAAGTGATAAAACTTGTGACAATATAGCACTTGGAGATCTTTGGATGCGTCCTAACTATCCA